CCCATCAGCTGGGCTGTCCTCTATGTTGTTCAGAAGCCAGTTACTGAGCACTCGGCGGACACACAAGGATGTTCCCACCAGGAGGCTGGACTCACTCGAAGCCACTGTGAAGACTCCCACCACACGGACCCACATGAGGCACATGGTCTGATTCTAAGCTTAACAAAAGGCACTGGAAGGTTTTAGGCCAGTGAATGAGAATATTGGAATTTCCTGTCATTTCAAACCCTTAAAGGTACAAACTTGAAAATGAGGTTAAATGAGCAGTGACTTCACATGCTGTACCCCAGGCTTGTTTTGATTGGTGTTCCTTGATGTGTCCCACTCATTCTTGTCATCTTCCACCTCTATGTTTGTGTACCGGATTCATGGGACACCAGCCCACCGTGTTAAGGGCCTTGTCTCATCCACACCTGGACAGGTTAGGAGCCTGGGGAGGCCCTGAGAGGCACAGAAGCTTCCCCAGGACATAGAACAGGTAAGAAAAAGGAGGTGTGAACACAGCTTTCTCCCCCAAGCTGGGGGCCTGGTACATTCCCAGGGAGATGGGGGAGGTTGTGTTAGGTATTGGTGTACAGGTATGAAGATGGCATGGACAAGGAGGGTGAGAGGTCAACAGCATAGAGGGGGTTTGAGGTGACTCTGATTGGAGGAAGGGCCCAGGTCATGGAACTTGAAGGGCTGACCTCACTTCCTTGGTGACAGAAATTAGAACCCTGGTAACCAGGTACCCACATTCTAGAGACAACTGCCTTTCCAGGTCACTTGAGTGGAGAAGATCAGGAGAGAGGATGTCTCTTTGTTGCTTCCAGTTCTTCCGACGCTCTGGGCAGAAGAAAGCCCAGGGTGAGAGATGTTTCTGTTGCTGTAGAAATTGGTGCAAGCACCACTGCCGACACCTCTTGCCCTCTCGCAGGAGGCACCCACAGGTAACCGAGGGCAGCCCAGGCCAGGCCCATCCAAGCCAGGCCCCAACTGGGCTCCCACCTGGGAAGCCCCACACCTCTTACCCCTCATCCTGGGTATGTGTGCGTGTCCGGGATGGTGAGAAAAAGCGTAGGATGAGAGACACACATCCTGGGCAGGAGCAGGTTGGTAGGTGTCAGAAGCCTGGAGGGTGTGTCATGTTCACTGCCCAGGTCATGGCTCACAGGAAGGGTAGCTGAGTGCTGAGGACTGAGCTCCACTACACACTTGTTAATCTGGGGGTACTCAAGGGGTCATCAACTTCATTCCCAGCCTGGAGGTCTTTGCAGATGCCCCTCTCTGCCTGATCTGGGGAGCAGAGTGGGTGGTGGGCATCTTCCCCACTGGTAATGCCCGGGCCCCTGATGCCTCCTGGCCCGGTAGCGGGCTGTGTCTTTGCAGAGCTCCAACAAGGGCAGCGTAGAGGAGCTGGCTGACAGGTTCACTTATGCCCTCAACGGGTACAAAGGACAAGTGCATCAGGACAGGGAAACCGGCCAGTGCCAAACTGAGGTGAGAGCTGGCCCACACCCAGGACCCTGAGGTGACTGGGGTGGGACCAGAAGTCAGACTCAAATCTGGGGCCTCAAAGTTCTCACAGGCCCACTCCCAAAGTGATCTGTACCTTCAATCCTCCCGACCAGGTCCCTGGTAGGGGAGAAAAGCAGTCTTTCTTCGAGTGCTTGTTGGGATCAGAGAGGAAGCATTTGTTGCTGTCTTTGCCTCATGCTCCTTTCAACTGATGAACTCCCTGCCCCAAGTATCCTGTGGACCAGCCCCAGCCCGACTGTCCTTGTAGACCTTCTCCAAGCCTTACACATCATCCCACTTGATAGTGCTGGGTATTTTTTTTAACAAAAAAGAGGGGCGGAAGGGGGGGGTGGTTAGGGGCGTAGGAAGGGATTAAGGTCTTGAATACTTTTCTCTGCAACCTATCACCTCAGACAGAGGACGACAAACCATTGCAGCGCGGCCAGGTCAGGAGCTGTGGCCTTACCCAACTCCATATCATCCCAACAAGGACAGAGTTTGCATCAGTGATTCAGGCTTTCCCTGTGGCTACACCTTGACACAAATCAATTCTTGCTAGCTCAGCAGGGCTGCCAGGAACATCCTCACTGTGTCCTCATAGACTAGGTCTGCCATGACACAGGACCACAGATTGGGTGGAAGGTTCCTGATGCCTCCTGGCTCAGTACCCACTCTGTCTTTGCAGAGCTCCAAGGAGGACATCATTGAGGTGCTGGCCCATGGACCCGACTACACCACCTACGGGGTCAGGGTGCAGGTGCACCAGGCTGATGACACAGACCAGTGCCTGTCTGAGGTGAGTGCTGGCCTTGAGGGTCTCTACACCCACAACCCCAACACAACCTGGCAGTGCCCAGAACCCACACTCAAATCTGGGGACTCCCCGGGCACCCTCCCAGGACTCTCCATAGTGTCCCACAGCCCCAAGAAAAAGAAATGCGGACCCCCACGCCCCCCTCCAGCTACATGGGAC